AAAAAAAATCAAACCAGTTGATTCACTCATATCTATTTATACGTATATTCTTCAGAAATCTCTATCAGTGACAATTATTTCATATATTCTTTGAAAAAAAAAGTGCCATTCCGTTAAGGCGAGTTCCGAAAATGGCATTCTTCCAGCAACCAAACTTTATTACTCTCATTGTTCATGAAGTTTCTGGATACTATCCGAGCTTCAAGCAACGTTTTTTTTCCGTTACTATTTGTTGGACTAACCGATTTTTGAAAATATTTGTCATTTTTTGTTACATCTAAAGATTTTTACCGTTTGCTGTGTCAAAAATCTATCAGCTTAGCAGGAAATGAATATTTGAAAAAAAAAAAAATTTCTGAGTTATTATTATTAATTGCAGTCTATCTTTCTATGAATCAAATTAAAACGAAATAATAGTTTATACACAGTTTATTGATGTCATAAATCAGTTATTTTGAAGACAATTGAATACATTCGCGCACAAAACTTTCCTGAACGGTAAATCCTGGTACTCTATAATTCCATTATACTGACTGTTAATTGGTAATTGCTTATCATTAAGCTTAGGTCATCGAAGAAATTGCCAATCGAACGTATTCGCTTAACAGAAATTAAAAAAAAAATAATTATTATTGTGAAAAGTCAAAGATTGCCGGTGATTATTGAAAATTATTTGAAAAGTTTCCTGGGCGGTTGCAAAACACTCAGCAATCAGAACAATGTAGAAGGTAGCAATTTTATCATAGGCAGTCAGCAACGAATTGTTGCATGCTAAATTTTTTCTGAAGTGTGTAAGTTACCTCGAAACTCTCCTTATAAACTTCCCCTATAAATGCTTTGTGCCTCCTCCACCTAGGCTCAGTCTCAATTATCTCTTTTCGCAACAAACAGAACTTTATTTAACTTTATAAAAAATAATAAAAATAAGTAACCTGTCACTCCATGAGTTTCCTTACTGCTACACACAATGCCAATAACAAACAACCGTTTATAGTAATCATATAAATGATGGTAGAAAAAAGCTTTAAAACAACACAACTCTGACAAAATAATAATAACTCTGACACCCTTCAACCAAATTTTTCCTTGCGTTAGCGGGGTGCCGCATAAAATTCAAAACTAAACATGTATCCAAGAGGGTACAAAAGAAGGAACGGTTCCAAAAAGAGGAGAAAGGGAGGACCCCGGAAACTTTTTCCACTTTGATTAAATATTTTTTTGTTTCCTGACATGCGATTACAGACGCTAACCTTCCTTTATATACCCTAAATGGCAATTCACAGAAGCTGTCTGGGTACTACAAAAGGTTCTATAAGTATGTGCTTTGCAACAATCGTAACAAATTCAAGCGAGGTATAAATGTAAAGAGAAAAATATTACTTTTTTATATGACTTAGATGCATCTATACCGTAAAGAAAATAATTTATACTGTATAATCTATATTTAGGTAATACAAGAAGAAATTACATAACTGTCAAATACTGATACTTTGAAATTTAGTGTAATTAAATAAAATTTTATAGTAAATCTACTAGTGTTGTGAATACCGCAGAACAATTCAATTAAAACAGTGATACTGTAAAGGAAAGAAGACAATTTCACCACATCAAATTTTCTTTAAACGCTACGTTTAACAGCATCAGTATTTGCTTAAAGTCATCTTAAAGAGTACTGGAAGTGAATAAGAATTTAAGTGGGATTTTTTTGCAGCTGTTAACAGAATTTCTTCTAACACTGAGGTCATTTCTTTCTGGACATATTGCAAGAACGAAGCAGTCACAAAAATAACTGTCTGGAACACGCTGACATTTTTTGCCGGACTGTTTCAGCCAGTTGAGGAATGAGAGGACTCAGCTTCCGAAGGTTTAGCACTCTCAATCATCGTACTTTTACCTTCGCTTTTTTCATTTTCTGAACTACACAATGGCGGTGCTTTTTGGTACGATTCTGACAAGATTTCTAACGCTTTCTGAAAACTACTGTTAAATGATTATGTGATGAAGAGTAATTTTGGTTGAGATTGATAATTTTTACCGCAAAATTTCGATTTATCCACCATTCTCCATCAAAGTCATCGTCATCGTCGCCGAGAGGGCATAGCATCGCTTCTGCTACCTAAGTAACTGCTTAGAACTGGGTAGATCAAAAAATAAGTGCTGTTTAATTTATAGAGCATAATTTTGTGTTTTACACTTTCGGTACACAATCACTCAATGTAGTTTTTGTGGTCAGAATTCGTTTATCAAAACTTGCACTCACGATGCAGTCAAAATGAGTTGAATCCGACAATTAATTTGAAATGTATATGCAGCTTTTAACTCAAATTCTCAACAACGTTACTCTTTGCGCAGAAATAAAAAAAAAAATTTATCAATTTTTTATTTTATATTATATTTCATTTCATTTTATTTTATTTCATTTTGTTTTGTTTTGTTTTATCTTGTTTTATTTCTTTTGGCAAAACCATTAAGGTGCCGCTGACCGCTCTAAGATGTTGCTGACCTTTTTAAAGCGGAATAGATTTAGAATTTTAAAAAACTTGTAACGCTCAACTACTGTGGTAAAAAAGATGAAATTTCTATAAAAATACTCATAATTTAGCTAAGAGGTCTACCTACCGCTTTCGCAACAAATTCAACTGTTCAAATTTCATAGAGATCTGATGCATATAAAGAATATTCTTGATTGCTAATACTCTTTTAAAGTCTGCAAAAATTGTGCTAGACATTCTTGAACTCTTATTACAGTAGGTTTACAAGAAAGAGTTTATGTTTCAAAATATGTTTTTATTATAAAAAGTAACGTACCGTAAGCCACCCAATATATAGAACCATTTGAAAGATGGTTTCAAAAGGCACATAAAGATCGATCTGAATGAGCATAACTATTAGGCTGTCATGTTTTCAGTGTGTGAAATAACAGCATGAATTTTTCATAAACTTTTTCAATAGTAGCTTCAGACAGTGCTATAATTTGGCTGCTCCTATTTTCAATTTGTTTGGCAACTTAAAAATAATACGAATATAACCAAAAGTCTAGAAAGCAAAGCGAAGAAAGCCCAAAAATTACGAATGTATCCAAAATGCCACAAACGAATCAAATATAAAAATGTACTGCAATGGCAGCTTATTATACAGTTGAAAACAAACAGTGGTATTTCAAACGTAGCCCTGCTGCTGAAGCAGATGAGACTTTTTGAGAGAGAATTCTTGAAGACTATGAAAAGAACAGAAAGAGAAGTAACAGAAAAAAAAACAAGACAGACGAAAAAAAACAAGCCATTTGTAGCTACATTAGCTCATTGACAAAGGTTAAATAGAGCTGAAAGATTCTTCCAAAAATTTCACCTCTTGGCTTATTAGCACAAAGGTTAAACAAGTATTTTGTCTTATTTTAAGCTGGACGAAGGTGGTAACATTAATTTATAAATTTAATCATTATAAATTTGTTATCTTAAGAATTTTCACCATGCTTGCCAGAATTGTACGTTATGATTGTGGTGTAAAAAAAGACTTAATTGACTGCTCGACATCTCAGGCTTTGTGATGATAAGGCATAGTAACTTTTTAGCAGCTGGATAAGTTGAGGAAAAATGAAAAATTAAACCAAGAAGCTTAGTTGTAGAAACAGGTACATACATGATAAGCAGCTGCTAGATCGAAAACGGCATATGCATCAAATGAGTTTTTTACTATGGCAAGACTTTGGTTATTCATTTATGCGTCTAAACTGCCAAAAGGTCAAAAAAGTGTGACATAAATGCTGCCTATTTTTGTCTTCAAAAAAGCT